CTGTATTAGGAGATGGAGAGTAACGTTCTGTGTCATGCCAGTCTGCCTCTTCTTCCATAAAGAGCAAAAACTATACTTAAAAATACAATAATAAAAGGATTATTTTATTCATGCATAGTGTGTCTTGCCTTGTTACTTTTTTGGGAAAGGGTCAACTCTCATTATGTCATTGTCAAGATACAACAGAGAATTGTGTTCCTATACTGTGTAGAAGTGGGAATTTTTACATATATAAATAGATACTCCACATTTAATGTATGGGAAAATGTTTGACCAAATTCCCAATTTCATATAGCTATTAAAAATTACAGGAAACGTCAACTACCTCTTGTTATTGTATTTAGAGAAAGCATACAAAATATATGCTAATTCATTTTTACTTTGCAGGGGGAGGAAAGAGCTTATATTTATGGTTGCTATTGATATTTGAAAACATCTGAAGAAATTTGAGGCAAATCAGTTTATAGCAATAGCACTTAGACTTATATACCACTTCCCAGTGCTTTACAGCCCTCTCTAAGCAGTTTACCAAGTCAGTATATTGTCCCCAAGATTCTGGGTCCTCGTTTTATTGAACTCGGAAGGATAGAAGGCTGAGTCAACATTGAGCCGGACAGAATCAGAACTGATGAATCGGAACTAGCCTGCAATACTGCATTTTAACCACTGTGTCACCATACCTCCTCATGTGATTCACCTAAGTCTAAATCATTATTAGTAAATATTCTACCGTTACATTTATGCATGCGCACACATTTCAAGAGGTGGCATTATTTTCTTACAATGGAGCAATTTCAAGAGTTGTACTCCATTAACAAGACCAGTAATAACTGTTAGTCCACTGGATATTCTAATCAGTAGTGGTATTCTACCAGTTCCACCCAGTTCTACCGAGCTGGTAGTGGCAATGAGCAGTAGAGATTGAACTGGTTCTCTCCAACACTCTGCTGTTGGGTCCACCTGCCCGCCCAGCTCCTATACTGCTGTTGGGTCCACCTGCCCGCCCAGCTCCTTATTCCCTGCTTTTGAAGCGCAGCTGCTTTGCGCGGCAAGCAAATTGCTGGGCGGCAGCTGCTGAAGCAACAGGGAGAATGCAGGATTGCAGGAGGCGAGTTGGAAAGCCTCTGCGCCTGGGCAAAGTGTGCATTTGGTGCATGCATGCATGCAAAGTATGTGTGTACAAGCAAAGCACGCCCACCAAGCCATGCCCACCAAACCGGTGGTAAAATTTTTTGAAACACACCACTGATTCTAATATTTGGAAGCTTTCTAAAAGTCAAAGTCCTTATTGTTAAAGGAAATCCAGACAAAGGTACACATATGCTCTGGAAACATCTCTGCAATTTAGAAATAAGTATTCTGGTTGCCTCAGTCCCTATGAATTTAAAAAACCTGGAAAATATAGTGAAAGTTGACTAGTAGTTTGGAAAACATCCATAGGTTTTCCTGCTAGATTAATTGAAGTAATAAATAACAGATAATCAGAGTTGGAAGGGACCTTGTAGGTCATCTAGTCCAACCACCTACCCAAGAAGGAGACCCTACACCATTTCTGACAGATGGCAGTCCAATCTCTTCTTGAAAGTCTCAAGTGATGATGCTCTCAACTTCCGAGGGCAAGCCATTCCATTGGTTGATTGTTCTCACTGTCAGAAAGTTTCTCCTTATTTCCAGGTTAAATCTCTCCTTGTTCAATTTCCATCCATTGTTTCTTGTCTGGCCTACAGGTGCTTTAGAAAATAGCTTGACCCCTTCCTCTCTGTGGCAGTCCCTCAAATATTGGAAGACTGCTGTCATGTCTCCCCTGGTCTTTCTCTTTACTAGACTAGCCAAGCCCAGTTCATGTAACCGTTCTTCATATGTTTTAGTCTCCAGTCCCCTAATCATCCTGGTTGCTCTTCTCTGTACTTTTTCTAGCATCTCAATATCTTTTTTAGAATGTGGTGACCAAAACTGGATGCAGTATTCTAGGTGTGGTCTTGCTAAGGCTTTATAGAGTTAAATAAAGCTAAATATAGCTAAATAAAGAAACTGAATTTCCTTTGGCCATTATGTCTGAACTAATAATCATCCAGAATGGCAATTATTCCCTACAAGTGTTTTCCTGTGTTGCATTATTGCCAGATAAGTAACTTCCGACTATACAATGCATCCCAGTGATGGTTTTTTCACCTTTGGAAGTTGAAGAAGCTTCTTGGATGAAAAGCAAAATATCTTCAAGGAAAAACAAAGGAAGTCCAGTTGCCTTTGGAAAAATCACTTTGGGGACAACAATGACCTGGATGATTGAGAATCTCCATAGACATTATACAGCGTATCCATGGCCTCTATAGTTCACACATGCATCCATGAAAACCTTACTAATATCAATCATTTATCATCATCAAACTTTGGACCAGTCACTCTCATTCACCTTAAAGTGTTTTTATGAGGGGAAAGTAGTAGGATGTGTATTCATTTTGTGTATTCATTTATAAAAACAATAAAGGCAGAATATAAATGAATAAAATGTTAATTACTTCAGCAGAAGAAAAGCCACAGGATTGTTAGTTTTGTTGTTTAAACCACTCTCTAGCAGTTACTTTGTCAGATGATTGTTTTTTCTGCCATTATTCACAAACTGCAGCATGATTGATTTTCTTGGTTGTATGGTGCTGTTTTACAAACAGAAGTAGAATCAGTCTTGTAAATCTCCTTATTTTGGAAATAGAATAATTATAAGGGGATTTGTGTATATATATATATATTGCCTCCAAAAAGAAGTCTAATCAATCCTCCAAATATGTATTTCTCATCAAAAAGAAAGAAGTCTAAAATTGAGACCCAATTTTAAGATAGTCTAATAACTTAACAACAGTCCTTCACTCTAAGCCAAGTATGAATATGTCCAAGAGCCAAGGTCAATGGAAGTTGCCCAGCATTTAGTTTTCTTTCCCAATTGTCCTCTCTATTGGAAGGCAGAGATTAAAAAGAAATAGTTGCATGAATGCAACTGACTATTTCAGACATTGGAGACATAAACTATCTTTAGATCTACTTGATCTTGGATCAAGGACAAACCAGGTTTTTGTATAAGCTGATATTCTCATACTGAAAAGAAAGGTTATCAAAGAGCCATAGTGTTGCGATGGTTAGAATGCAGTATTGCATCTAACTCTACCCACAGCCTGGGAATCAATTCTGACTGGTTCAGTGTTGATTCAGACTTGCATCTTTCTGAAGTCAGTAAAATGAAGACCCAGATTGTTGGGGTCAATATACTGACTCCGCAAACCACCTAGAGAGGGCTGCAAAGCACTATGAAGCAGTATGTAAATCTAAATGCTAATTGCTGAATCCCTGAACTGTTTCTGCAACATGCTTACAATTGCCCCTTTTTCCAATCACTGTTTATACATGGCTGTAAAGTGCTGAATCCTGACCTTGTAGGAAAAATTAAAGAGAATCTTGCAAACTTGATGTACAGTTTCTCACAGTTACAATCTTAGTCAGCATTTCTTATATTAACAAACTAGTCCAATGCTGAAAGAGGCAGATCACAAATTATCTGAAGAAAAATAGGATGAGTGTAAGGATGTCATATAAATGCTATGAGTGCAGGCTAAACACAGTTCCTAGATAAGGAAGTAGCAGTGGAAAAGCAAAATTCTACCCACCCTTCCTCCAGGGACTCACTTGCCACTATTCATCCCTACCTGCTTTGGGCTTCAAAATTAGCACTTGGAGAGGATGCATCATTGTGGGGTAATCATAGCCTGCCTCTCTCTACAGTTATACAAATTGCAATTACATAAGCCTAAGTACGTTTAAATTTGGATTCCTTTTTCTGGTTTAATAAAGAACTTGAATATGGAGGGTCTTCCAGTAAATAGCATGGAGAATAAATTAAGACTATCCAGTGGTGACTTCCAAAGTATTTCTACTAATGAAAGAGTTGAGCAACCTGGTTTAGAAACATAATCCAATAATCTCTTATCTCGGAGGGTTTTTTTAAAAAAAAAAAAACCAAATCCACTCAGGTTTATTTTTTAGTAGACCTACATAGTTATCTCAGTACTGAATCCCGGCCTGAAACTAGACTCGAATGGGTCTAGATAAAGGCTCCCCAACCCCCAGGCTGCAGCCCACTACCCTTTGGAACTGGGCCACGGGAGTCGGTGAGCACATATGTGCAGCCCCATTTGTTGCAAGCAGTGGACCTCCCGCTTGTATAAATGGAATGCAGTAATGTAGAAGGACATGTCCTGGTATGCTCATGTAACACCTTAGCTTTGCAATGTACACTGTCTGGTTGCCACAGTTTGCTCCTGAGTACAATTTAAAATGCTGGTCATTACCAGGGGGTGAAATTCAACCACCTCGTCCCAGCTCGGGAGAGATGGTAGGACAATTTGAATCAATAAAAAATTGCCCCTAGTTGCTATTACTATTATACCAAGCCACGCCCAAAGCCACGCCCATAGAGCTGGTAGGGAAGAATTTTGAATTTCACCCCTGGTCATTACCTATAAAGGCATAAGACCTGGTAGCTTGAGGGACTGCCTATCTCCCATAGTATCTGCCCAACGAGTTCAATCTGGCAGAGTTGGCACCCTCCAGGTTCCATCAATTAAACAATGCCATATGTCTGAGGAGATCCAGGTGGCTGTCACTCTGCTGGGGTTGACAAAAGTATTGGAGACTTTCCTCTTCACTCAGACCTTTGGCAAGCACAAGTAAAGTTCCCCTTTGGATTGTGTGTGTGTGTTTCTTTTCAATTCAGTCCATCTTTTTTTCAGCCTTGCTATCTTTAAAGGTAAAGGTTCCCCTCGCGCATACGTGCTAGTCATTTCCAGCTCTAGGGGGCAGTGCTCATTTCCGTTACGAAGCCAAAGAGCCAGCGCTGTCCGAAGACATCTCCACCTGTTGTTGCTTTTTTCCCTTCTTTTCAATGCTTTTATTTCTAATTGTCCAGAGTCACTGGAGGACATATAAAATTAAATAATAGCTGATCTGGCACCTTAAGAAAGGACATATTTTAATTCCAAAGAATATTCACTTCAATTTAATAATCTTAAAAATATTGTTCGTTCTATATACTTACAACATGCTCAACAAATCTAAAAATTTATATGCTGTGCATGAAGTCGATATTGCTCTTGGTGGCAGCACCTAGCCAACGTTGGCTAATTTTGAAAATGTAAGAAAGGTTACAAGGAACTTGGTAAGTAAGATCTGATTAATACTTGCATAAGAGATCGCCGGGAAACACTAGAGCTGTAAACTAAGGTTGTCTTTTTCCATTCCATTGTTGTTGTTGTTGTCACGATCATCTTAGGCAAATCTCTTCTAAATTGTTTCCAGTAAAAATTTACAGACATGTCCATGAGGTTGTCAGGAATTAAATTCAGCACGGAGACTTGATCTTACCTTAAGTCAAATACTGAAATCTTAAGGAACTTCACTGTTTAAGAATTTTATGTATGCCATAATCAATGTGCTAGTATGTATTGGGAGCATAAGATTCTTAGGTGAACTGGCTTTTTTTGGTAAAATAATAATATGTCAACTTTTTTTGAAAGCAGATATGAGTAAAAGTAGAAGCTTCCTTGAAGTTTTGGTGATAACTCTAAATATTGTGTCAGTTTCACATGATTTAGCACCCACACTCTTTTAATTTTGGTAGCCCAGACAACTTCAACTTGCATACATTTCAGACTCTCTCTTAATTTTCAATGGCAGTGTCAGACTTATCATGCAAAATGACAGTCACAATGACTTTACTTTTGATCATCAGCCAAAATCTGTCTTTGCTGATTTCATAAAGGAACATGGTTGGGCCATAATTTGTAATTCTCAGTGTAACTGCTGCACTACCAGAAATTGCAGCAGCATTTCAGGAAGTGCCTCCAATAGAATTTATCTGATTTAGAATGAATATCATACTCCAGCACAGGCACCCAGGTGCAGTCCATACACCAGAAAAACCTGTATCATTGCCAGGACCATGTTCAGGCAGCCTTGGGGTGGGGTGGGGGCTGTGTGCTTTCTCCAGTGTTTCCCAAATGCTCAGCTAGTTGGCCTCCTCTAGCAGGCAGGTGCCAAATTGTTCTTGTTTTGGGTCAGCCTGAGCTCCAGCACGGAGCTGCTTTGCACAATCCTATTGTCTTTCCCCTTAAGAAAGGTTTGTTCACACACTGAGAATGGGTGACTCTGTCCTTCTGTTAACAATACCCAAAACAGTAACTACTTTCATTCACTGCATATATGGAAAACTAATCAAGTTCATTAATATCAAACCTGGACAGACTTTCAAGGCTACCCCTTTGAATTAAATTACAATTTTGCATTCCCCTAACAAACATAAACACAATACATTGGTCCAGCCTGATTCTAAATTATTGAAACACCATTATTCTGAATTCCAAATAGTGTTTCTTAGTTCTTCTCCAACACCAGGCTTGAAATATCAAAAGCCTGGCTGTTGTGCTAAGAACAAGAGGAAAAAAGCAGACTAGAAAATCATTGGAAGGATAGCCCCCAGGCTTGTTGCTGTCAGAGAAACAGACAGTTGAGATTTTTGCTTGTTACACAGAAAGAAAAGGAATGTTAGAGAGCATAGGAATTTTAAGCTAGGTCAGAAGATTGCTACACAATATTATAATTGCCCACTGTTAATTTACAAAGTTGCAAACAATGTTACATTGCTCCTTTGATTTCAAATAGGCTTCCAATTATTAGAAAAGAGGTAACAGTCTTTACAGTATCAATATTCTCTTCCCTTTTCCATCAAATTCCTATCTTCTCTGGATTCCCATACCATGCAGCTGGAAATATTATTTTTTCTTTTCAAGTGAAAAAAAACAACAACAAATACAAAACCACAAAGCCTAGAATGAAATCTGAATGGTCCAGTTCATTTCCTTTTTGCCATTTTACTTAAACAGTAAATGTTTGTTTCCCAGACACAATTAGGGTACCCAGGAATGTCTACAGTTCACCAGCCAAATCCAATGGTCTTTGTCAATAGTTGCTTTTAGCTCCATCAACATTGCAGAGGGTAAAGGATGTTATTTCCAGAAATCCTCCAGCCCAGAAAATATTTTGAATTTGTTCTCTTTGCTCTGCTTTTTCAGACAGGGTGTACAAATTGGTAGACCAGCCTTTGTGAGATATCTGGTTTCCTGATGATCCCTTTCTTATAATACTGCCGAATTGAGCGGCTCAGCTTGTCGTAGTTCATGGCAGGCCGGTTCTTCCGGATTCCCCATAGCCGAGCCACCTGGGCAGAATCTTCAATCTTAAATATACCTAGACAGTAAATATGAGTAACAAGAAAACCATTTATGCTGGCCACACCCTCCCTACCATCTTATCACTATTATGATATTTTGAATCAGACTAATTATTAGCAGAAAAGATGACTTGTTTAATAAAAAGAGGAAGAAATGTTTGCAAGGAACCAAACAAAAAAAGCAAATAAAAGTATATTTGGAGAAGCAAAATCAAAAGCACTGTATTTTTAATGTTATTTATTATTGGATTTATAGTTCTGCTTATTGTTTATTCCAATGCTCAAATCAGCTAACACGTTAGAAAATGCAGTGTATAAAACAGCAAAGTTCATATAATTCAAATCAAAATCTAAATTAAAACTGAGCAGTAAAACACATATGAATCCTGACAAGCATCAGACCCATCCCACTGCTCTTATACATACTGACAGTAGCAATGGTCCTTCACAATTGAGAGTAGCCTGAATAAATTGCCTATTTGGGAGCTCTGATTTAGACTTCTGGCCACTCTGTTTCCCTCTTCCTAGTTTTCCCTTGGTGTTCTATGTCTTTCTCTCCCTCTTTTCCAGTTTTGGTAAGCTGTAGTGCAAACTAACCATAACTCTTAGTACCTCAGAAAGAGAGCTGGAACAAGTGCAGCTTAAGCCCACACAGAGCTTTTTTTTTTTTCAGAATTCCCTGAGTGGGATAGGCTAACAATTTCAAGCTTTGGGGGCCTTTTGGAAGTGGCCAAAAGGGTAAAATGGATTTTCTGACACACTGAAGACACCAATATCGCACATGAAATTCCTCCCACCTTTTTGTCCCTGGGGAATAAGTTTCTTATTTCAAAGGCCTTTAGAAAAGGACTTTTCAAGCTATAGAGTCTTGGACTATCCAAATAAAGAATTTGCCTCCTATTTTCAGCATTAAATCAATATCACTGACCTTTTTCCTTATTGAGCCAACGAATGAAGCGACCATAGTTATGAGGCTTCAGCAGAAGCTCTTTCAAAAACTGCCATAGGTGAATGGGCTGGCCTGAGCAGGATGAATCTACCTCACTGTCTGTCCAGTTCTCTTCATGGCCTATAGTAAGGAAACACCCATCCAAATTAATTTTTTAGAAAGCAATGTACTTTTTATTAGAAAAAGCAAGTTATTTTACGCAGGAACAATGGCAGGGTCATCAGTTATCAGGAACATGTTTAACCTTCAGATTACAATATATTTTCTGTATATAAGCATTTACAGCATCAGTATTAATGCCCTATTTCTTTCTAAGCCAATCAACAACTGTAATATTCTACTTGGTCTAGGATCAAACCACCTAAACGTCTTCCTTCTCACCATACGATCATCACACTGATTGAACCACACTGGAAATATTCTTCTTTGTGTCCCACCCAAAAGTATCAGATTTTTCAATGTCCAAAATTTAAAAGAGAATCTCCTTACTCTTATATCTGGACTACAGTAAGCCCTCATGTGGTAGGTATACCATCATGCCTTTTTTTTTAACCGTTTTCCACCAGTCCCCATAAATTTCACTTTTTCAGCAAGCATTTAACCTTGAAAATTTCTAACTTTATTTTTGTGACATTTGTTTTTTAAGCTATTGTTTTTTAATTATTTTCACCACTGTGTTATCTTGTTCTTTCATTTTTTAAGTGTCAAAGGAATGCTAACTCTGATTTAGGAGAAAATTATGTTTCCCCAAATCTCCACTAATTCAAAACGTGGTACGTGTTCTCTCTCTCTCTCTCTCTCTCTCTCTCTCTCTCTCTCTGTGTGTGTGTGTGTGTGTGTGTGTGTGTGTCTCATTCTCCCTCCCTCCCTCCCCCTCTCTATCATCTATCTCTCCATCCCTCCTTCTGCTATATTGTAAAATAATATATATAATAATATAAAACCCATATACTAAAGGTACATATTTTAGTCAATAACCGTCTGGTCTTAAAAGGACTGTACATTTTCATCTAACAGTATCCAGGCAATAAGCAGAACTAGAAGGCAGCTGCTTCTACTACGTGAATTGAAATCATATAGAATAGAATTCTTTATTGGCCAAATATGATTGGATGCAGAAGGAATTAGTCTCCAGTGCATAAGTTCTCAGTGATCAATCATGATCATAAACATACTATTATGACGTGCTTGTAATAAAGCAACATTTGGGTTCTTGAATACCTTTTTTCTGTATCCCTATAACTTCTTAGCTTTTTGACATTTCTCTATCACTAAAGTGTTTTTATTATTAGAATAATTGATAATATAAAATAAAATCTATTTTATTTTTTATTGTTAGCAACAGTTAGCTCACCACAGTAATGAAAGTCCCCAGGAGCAGTTTTTTCTTTCATCCAGGCAGCTGGAAAGCAAACATAACATGAAAAGTTAATCTAATGGATTCTGACAGGCTGAATTTCCCCACTTTTCCCCATTCTTGAGGTCCCTTAAACAGTGCTTAAAGAAAGCCAATAGCTCATGTAACTGGAACGGATGCAAAGGCCAAAACCTTGCTCTGTAGCCACTCACCATTCTACCTCAAACTGATTAGCACCAAACTGTTCCAATTCAAAGATCTGCTAAAGCATGAGACTGAATACTGAGACAACATCCCCAAAAAACAGCAAGAAGCCAAAAGCACAAGCAAAATCATTAGCATGGATTATTTAGAGAGCCTTGTTTTTCAGCAGTAGTTTGGAAGTACCAGCAGCATAGGAGAAAAATCCCTCTATTGCTCCTACTACCAAAAAAGCTTTTGAAGAATGAGTTTTCAGTTTCATCATTTTTTTCTCGATTCTCTTACTAAGTACCTGACTTCCAAATGTCCAGATGAGCATGTAAAACATCGCCACATGATGGAGAACGTTGACGGAACCCTTCTTCAGTCATGTCACATAGCTCCTTCCCAGACAAGTCATGGAACGATTTTCCAATCTGGGGCAATCGATATTGGTGTTCTGTCCATAAGATCCACTTTTGGACATTTCCAGGACTCCAGTCTGCAGGGTCTACAAAAATACCCCAAAATATATATATTCTAAAAAGTGTGCATATTGCTTCATTCATAATTTATTTTCAGAGCAAATATTCTAAGAAAATATTCCAGGTTGACTACCATGTAAATGTCTCCACTTTTTGATATTTTCATAGTTCTGATACATCAGCCAACATACAGCTATCATATCAATGTTTTCTGCTAAGATTTTAAAGCGGTATTTATCTCTGAAATATTAGGCAGTAACAAAGCTATCATTGGAACTGCCAAACAACAACAGTCAATGACATCCAAACAATCTCCTAGAGAATGGTGCACATTGGATATGGAGGCAAGTCTGATGTCAGTATCCTACATTGACATGGACAGTCTGTGGCTGATAAGGGCTGGTGATAGCTCCATATTAGTCTTTATTTTTATTTTTTTCAGAAATGTTCTAATAATTGAAGAGGTAAAACAAGCAGGTTGGCTTTTGTGTAGACAGTTTGCTTTTATATTTGCGTTGGCAACATTTAGATGCTGTCTACAGTGTACTGGGAACATTTACCTGGCAAAAAAAAACTACTGCAGCTAGAAGAACTAGAGGAGAAGCTTGATTTGCTATGCTACCCACATTTATTGCAATGAAGTGCATGTTCTGTAATTTTAATTTTGAATTAAAAAGGGCACAGTCCTCCTTTAGTCTGCATATTTTGGTAACCTCAACCTAAATGAAAACCTTCCTGTCACTACTTCAGATGACCAACTCTTAAGAGTTCCTCAAGTTTGGATATGGTACCGTTTAAATTAACCAATCTAAAATCTAGGCAGAAACCTACTTCGGTTTCAAAATGAAATCTTCACTTCAGAGCAGGTCATTAGATCAAAGCATCAACCAACACCCTTGATGATGTGATTTCTTCTTTGTTTATACTAACTTTGCCCCTCCATTGTGACCTTTATGAAGAATGCAACATACTGCATGATCCAAAAGCTGATCAGTATCAGAGTGGTCAGTAATCAGAATAGGCAATCATCAGGTAAAATGTAACCTGTCCCCCTTGCCCTGAAATAAAGTGAGAGGAATCCCAACCTCATCCTGATGTTCCAGTATTGAGGGGTTGGTGTACTATTTTCTTCGGTAATAATGTGTTCTAAAAGAAGACATTTCTCTATTCATGCCTAATCTCTGTCAGTTAGCCTAGCACAGTAGTTGGATGCTCATTAAGTACAGATGGATGCATCTATATGCATACATGTGAATGAAGCATTTGGTACCTGGAAATGATGAATAAAGTGAACAAAGCAGAAACATTGTTTTATAAATTAGTGACAGGGCTCTATTCTCCTCTGGATATTTCTGGCCTTTGAGTTCTATTATTCATAGCCATCATGAATTAGGATCAAGATACTGGGTCCAACACTATCTAGACAGTTCCAAAGCTGGCTTATTGCAGCCTTCCATAATTTGACTCAGTTCATCCAAATGTTAACTGCTTTTCTTTTAGCTCCTGGTAGCATGTCTAATGATGGATTATAATGGGATCACGCCTGGAAAAAACCTCAGCTGGGGAAGCCTGGTTTAAATTTTCTAAGACATCCTAATAAGGAATGAAAAGCGCATGTTGCATTTTAATATTTTTTCCACTTCCTGGTCCTAACACCCAGCCAGGTTTTGCTCTTTCTAATCACAGGTTTGCAATTTCTCCTAGAACAGTATTGAGTATTGCTTGAGAAGTCTTACAGTGATTTCTGTTATATGCAAATCATATGTAAGTGAAAAACCCAGAGACAGTGTCTTTTTGTAACGGAACAGTCAATATGTGTATATCAGGAGAAAGCCATTCTCCCTCCATTTTCCCCCTTGCTACTTTGCTCCAACTCTGTCAAATCTTTTTATTTCCACTGTCATGAAAGAATATTTGAGCTTTGATAACCAGCCTACAATGATTTTATACATAATTGTATAACAAGTAAATAAATACGGTTGAAAGTTTATTTGATCCTCACACGCATCAACTCCACTTATACTGGGGCTTATATTCCTAATGTCAGGATAAAAGACATATTAATAAAGACTTTTCTAAGACTGTAATGAATTTATTACCATATAAGTTAACTTGTTCACTCCATCAGAGGCATTTTGTGATTGATAGTATCTTATACAATTAAAAAATGGTCAGTCTTTAAGGTGCCACAAAATGTTTCATTGTTTTTGTTGGAAAGAAAACAACATGATAGTCTGAAAGGAGTTAGAAACCAATGATAGGCAAAGAATATTGCCAGTTGTTGGCAAATGATCACAGAAGCCTCACTAGTTTTGCAATGCATGATTATGTCACTACATACACATTTTTTTTTATTTCGTGGGCTAAGCTGTGCCAAATATAAGATCTGCGGTACTCACCTGCGGCAATGTTGAGCAGTTTACAAGCTGTTTCAATGTCCTTGAGCACTTCACCCACCACCATTGTCTGCACCTGTTCCAAGGAGTGCTCCTCAAAGTGAAGACTGGCCTGATAATCCATCTCAGAGGTGAGGCTCAATCCTTGACTGTCAATGATAGGACACTGCTCAGGTTCCTTATGCACTTCCGTCCTGCTTCCTTGATCGTTGTGTTGAGTTTCACCCAAACTCTTTGGGACCCAATTGCTGTCATCTGGGTAGAGCATATTGAAGTACTGCAGGCAATAGGTGGGAAGGGTCTGCTCAGGTGTAGCAGGGGGGCTTGGGCTGTCAAGGGACCGCCAGCTTGGGCTGTCAGGATCTTGAGCAAGAGGTAGCTTCTCCAGGCCAGAAAAGAGTATAGGATCCTGAAAGGTGACCCGACTGTGAGGCAGAGCAGCCACACCTTGGCCAGCACTGCCCATCACTCTGTGCAAGTTTTCCTCCAGATCTATCATCAAAGAAGAGAGAAGAAAAGAAGGGGGGGTGGAAACATATGCCTCAGTCAGAAGGGATGGTTTGATAATAATTTCTGCATTTCTGCCCAGTGATCAGGCACAATGGAGGAAAGCTAAGCCTGTTAAAGGAAAAGAAACCACCGAAGAGTCATTCTGTGGCCAAGGAGACCCCTTGATGAAAACAGGTTAAATAGCTCTTCAAGGGCCCAGGCAACTCTTTCCTTCTGGGTCACTGGGCAATAAAAGGGCACGAGAAGGAATCATGATAGGAAAAGCAAATGCAGGAAAGAACGCTACTGGGAATAAATTTCTGGAGAATTTCTCTCTAGTTTCCGAAGGGCAAAGGCTAAGAAAGGAAGACAGGCCCAATATGAGGCACTCATCTAACAATCCTTGTGGGGAATAGAAAAGCAAAGATAAGTAGAAATGAAACGGGGGCTCCATGTAAATATTCAGAGATTGGGGGGGGGTCTTTATGAATATAATGTATGTGAATGAATGGGAAGAGTGATGCAATAAATAAGCACTGTCTGCATATCGTTATTAATTAATCGCCTTCACCTTCGTTATTCACAGGTTTATCCCTTGTAAAGTGATAGCTTCAAAGAAAGATCAGATTGTTTTTAAAGAACAATATTTCACATCTGCAGAAATGCTGATAGCCTATTCCAAAAGTGCATTTAGTATTATTATCTTTTGACCCCAAATATGATTGTATAAAATATCATTAGTCTCTGGATTAGTTTCTTTAAACCATACATAACCCAACCCTTTACAAGGCAGCATAGACAAAGTAAGACTGCACTGTCACTCTTAGGCTCTTCAGAATGACAGATTTGGAAGGGACTTGGTGGGTCTTCTAGTCTAACTGCCTACTCAAGCAGGAATCCTATACCTTTTCAGACAAATAGCTTGTCCAATCTCTTCTTAAAAGCCTCCAGTGATGAAGGCAAGCTGTTCCACTAAAAGCATCACCTTTTCTGTGTCCAAAGCAACAGAGAAAGGTTTCTCCTTTACTCAGATGAAGGGCAATTCCCACTTACATAAATGCAGTATTTGCAGAAGTTAAATTGACCAACATCTAAAACTATGGCTAAAATTTTGAGGGTGGCAAACCTTTAAGGCAAGGCAATTGTTGATCTCTCAGATATTATACAGAATTTGTCATGTCTTCTTTTGGCTAGGTGATTTTTCTCCCAGTTTATTTGTTGGGAAAAACTGGAGATAAAATATCAACAGGAATCATTTACTAAAGATTAAGTGATATCAGTTGTGGATTTGTCCTACCACAAACAACAACCCCCACCCAGCTACTTGTTTTTTGGTGTCATTCTCATAGACATTAGGTTTAAGATGAGCTTAAGCTACAGAATATTTGCATTTACCACACCCACTGAGTCAGAATAATTCCAGTTCAGTATGTGTGTTATGCATCAGAGTCAGGCAGAGTTTCACACAATTAGTTGGATGCACATTGGGTACCAATATCAGCTTTAATATTCAACCCCCTCTTCCCCCCCACCCCTGCCACCCAAACTAACACCTATAACTTGGATTTATCTTTAAATGAGATTAACTAAGATTAGAATACCAACATTCTGATGAAATAGCAGGGTGGGCATCACCACCATAAGTCAACTAGCCTGAAAATATTTTCACAAATATTTTTGAGTAGGCAACAAACTGTCTTTCAGTATGCTAGGTACACAACTGAGTCAATGCAAAGGCAAAGAGATGTAGTGCATCCAATTTGATCTTTGATCTGTTACGCTCTGAAATCATATTCTGGTGGAACATTTCAACTTGTCTTTATTTTAATCTTTCATCCTTTCCATCTGTCTGTGGTCCTAGAAAATGGCCTGGGCTCAGCAGAGTGGTAGATGAACTTGCTGGATTTCCATGACAACCTTTGCAGAACCAAACAGAAAGCCTGGGGGCTTAAAGTGTGTTGGGTGGGAATGACAGGAGAGGGGAGGTGGTTCTTCTGAAATGAGAGTGCAGTTAAAAGGTTGTTGTTGGAGACATCATGCTGGAATGTAGAAGCTCGAGTAGGTGGCTCACAAATACCTTCTTTCCTATTTTTCTAACACTGCACAGAAGCTAAAATCAAACAAATAATTCCCTTCCCACTACTCATCTACTCAATATTTTGGAACACCACACATATTCCAGAAATACCTTGCTGATCTCAAAACTACACCGGGTTAACCCTTGGGTAGGAGACCATGAATAAAGTGCCAAATTATAATCTAGTCTGGGAAGTCAAGGGCAAATGCCTTCCACATGTTTACTTAAAAAAACTTTGTGGATGAATCCTTGTAGTCATCAAGAATTGCACTCAAACTGGAATATATTTAGTATTCTGTAGTCATTCTAGTTCATCAACAAAGGGTGAACATAGCAGGAAGCAAAGCAAAAGTAATCTACACAGTGGTGTGGGCGAGTCAAAAAAGTCAAGATGGTAGTTGTGGCATTATTATTAAAACCTTGCCTTTTTGGTGCATGTGTCAATGCTGAACAGGGTAAGGCTTTGATGCAGTGGCCATAGCCAATCTCTTGACCTTTCTGATCCCTTCCATATATGCCACCGAAAGTACATGTGCATTTTGAATGCCATACTTCTGGTCTCCAGTAGTCCAGGCCCTTGGCGACAATCCAATACAAACAGATCAGTATGCATAAGAAAGCTTGTCTCATTCTCTCTAGACGAATACAAGTACATAACGTTTAGCTGTGAGTAAGCCAGTTAATTCAATAAGAAACAGTTATAAACAGACCTGTATAGGATTATCCTGACATTATACCAGCTAAAGTTAGCACATTTCAAACATCTGAGGGCCAAGACCTGGCAGGCTGGATACATCCATTATCCAGAAAAGAAGCACCTGCTCTTCTCTTCATTCAGCAAATGAATGAGTCACAAGATAGTTGCTTTGTATGGAAATAGATTCTGTTGAAAGTGTAGGAATTTAATAGGGGGGGGGAGAACAAACGAGAAGCTCCCCCTTCCCAAAATCTACTGAAGATTCTCCATGATCAGGCAGAAAAGAATGGGTAATAATAAGGAGTAGTACCTTTTCCTGTTCAGAAATATATTATTTGCTTGTCAAAAAAAAATCAGCTCTGTTAAAATTCTAAAAGTAGATTAAGTGTATTCAAGGGTAGGAATCATCTTTATATAGTGCTTGTGGGAGGGAAAACAACCCAGTTCATTGCCTACCCAAAAATGGTTGTGAAAATATTTCCAGGACAATGGTGATGCCCGATCTGCTATTTCATCAGAATGTTGGTATCCTAATCTTCGTTAAGATTAGTTAGTACTTTGTAAATGCCTAACATAACAATGCAGGATTTTTTTCCCCCTCAAGTAGCCTGCAAAACAATGTTCAAAATAGTTGCAGACATCCTTCTTGCTTCACAAAGTAGATGGAAAGAGTTTACAAAACTTCTCCTACTTCATTTTAGCAATGAAATTATAATATATGATCCCGTGTCAGAGAATGTGCAGGGATTTCTCTCTGCTACCACATCATGATTTACACAGCATCCATCTTTTAGGATCTGTCCACTTTCTAGATGTATGAGAATTATAACTTTTTGAAGCACAGCAGTGATCGTTAGTGACTTTCAAAATAATGCATATTTAGTATAGTTACATAATTTTATTGAAGATGTGTCCTGCAAACTGGTTCAGTTCAAACTGCCCTACCCCCTCCCTAAATCTTTGCTTCCTTTCAGCAGCTAGAATTCATATCTGCTCCCCAGAAGGAATCATATACAGTAAATAAAAAAATAATTAAATATCACTGTTTGCCACAGGCCAGAGATCTATGATGAGTCAATCAAGCAAAACAGTTAAAGGCCATTTTTACAGTCTGAATTGTTTTTAAACGAAACTGGGTATACCTGTTCTTACTCCTCCTGCTCATGATTTTGCCCACATCATTATGGGGTTAAAAAGTGGGGCACTGAAGAACTGAAAATATTTACTTAGGCAATTCTAACGTGATGAAGTTATTAAAAATTACAGAATATAATACACTGCTCAAAAAAATAAAGGGAACACAAAAATAAGATATCCTACATCTGAATGAATGAAATATTCTTATTAAATACTTTGTTCATTACATAGGTGAATGTGCTGACAACAAAATCACACAAAAATTGTCAATGGAAATCAAATTTAGCAACCCATGGAGGTCTGGATTTGGAGTTACACTCAAAATTAAAGTGGAAAAAAACACTACAGGCTGATCCAACTTTGATGTAATGTCCTTAAAACAAGTCAAAATGAGGCTCAGTAATGTGTGTGGCCTCCATGTGTCTGTATGACCTCCCAACAACACCTGGGCATGCTCCTGATGAGGTGGCGGATGGTCTCCTGAGGGATCTCCTCCCACACCTGGACTAAAGCATCCCCCAACTCCTGGACAGTCTGTGGTGCAACGTGGCATTGGTGGATGATGTCCCAGATGTGCTCAGTTGGATTCAGGTCTGGGGAATGGGCTGGCCAGTCCATAGCATCAATGCCTTCGTCTTGCAGGAACTGCTAACACACTCCAGCCACATGAGGTCTAGCATTGTCTTGCATTAGGAGGAACCCAGGGCCAACCGCATCAGCATATGGTCTCATAAGGGGTCCGAGGATCTCATCTCGGTACCTAATGGCAGTCAGGCTACCTCTGGCGAGCACATGGAGGGCTGTGCGGCCCCCTAAAGAAATGCCACCCCACACCATTACTGACCCACTGCCAAACCAGTCATGCTGGAGGATGTTGCAGGCAGCAGAATGTTTCTCCATGGCATCTCCAGACCCTGTCATGTCTGTCACATGTGCTCAGTGTGAACCTGCTTTCATCTGTGAAGAGCACAGGGCACCAGTGGCGAATTTGCCAATGTTGGTGTTCTCTGGCAAATGCCAAATGTCCTGCATGGTGTTGGGCTGTAAACACAACCCCCACCTGTGGACGTTGGGCCCTCATACCACCCTCATGGAGTCTGTTTCTGATCGTTTGAGCAGCCACATGCACATTTGTGGCCCGCTGGAGGTCATTTTGCAGGGCTCTGGCAGTGCTCCTCCTGTCCCTCCTTGCACAAAGGTGGAGATAGCGGTCCTGATGCTGGGTTGTTGCTCCTCCACGTCTCCTGATGTACTGGCCTGTCTCCTGGTAGTGCCTCCATGCTCTGGACACTATGCTGACAGACACAGCAAACCTTCTTGCCACAGCTCGCATTGATGTGCCATCCTGGATGAGCTGCACTACCTGAGCTACTTGTGTGGGTTGTAGACTCCATCTCATGCTACCACTAGAGTGAAAGCACTGCCAGCATTCAAAAGTGACCAAACCATCAGCCAGAAAGCATAGGAACTGAGAAGTGGTTTGTGGTCACCACCTGCAGAACCACTCCTTTACTGGGGATGTCTTGCTAACTGCCTATGCTTTCCACCTGTTGTCTATTCCATTTGCACAACAGCATGTGAAATTGATTGTCAATCAGTGTTGCTACCTAAGTGGACAGTTTGATTTCACAGAAGTGTGATTGACTTGGAGTTACATTGTGTTGTTTAAGTGTTCCCTTTATTTTTTTGAGCAGTGTATAATTCAGTCAACACTTGGAACACAATATAGTCTTATTTTCTACGGTTGTATATTATCTGACTATGATAATTAACCCATGAAATCAATATTCACAGGCTACCTAAAATGTAATTGTTTTTAATGAAATGGATTATCCGATTAAGCTTTAAAATCAGAATTATGTTGATGAGCCTAAAAGGCAATAGTAGACTACAATGAAGAAGCTACTGTTTTAAAAAATATCACAGCTGTAGATCTTCAGACGTCTGGATCTTCTTGAGAACATTGTACTGAATAAGAACAGCCTAACCTCTGCAAAGCACATTCTCCTTTCCTTCCTTGCACACGAAGTGCAAGTTAGTTACAACGTGGACAAAGGTTTTTAATTACCCGGCATTTCAAATACATCACCTGAAAATCAAGAACAGATGCTCAGAGGGGTTACAGTTCAGTGGCAGATGCTGAGTATATTAACCTTTGGAGAATTCTCAGGGAAAATACAGGCTGCTATATCAGGGAGTCCTCGAGTTACGACCACAATGGCGTCCAGGATTTATGTTGCTAAGGGAGAAATTTGTTAAGTAAGTTATGCCCCATTTTATGACTTTGCTTGCCACATTTCTTAAGTGAGCCACTGCAGTTGTTAAATTAGTAATATGGTTGTTAAGTGAATCTGGCTTCCCCCACTGACTTTGCTTGTCAGCAGGTCGCAGAACACTGCAACAGTCATAAATATAAACCAGTTGTCAAGCATCCGAATTTTGATCATGTGACCATGGGAATTCTGCAATAGTCATAAGTCACTTATTTCAGTGCCGTTATAATTTCGAACGATCACTAAATGAGCTGTTGTAAGTCGAGGACTAGCTGTATTGGTTGCAGGATTTTAAACAGAGATCCTTCCAATCACCTGCTACAAAGTTGTTTAGCTCAGGAATACAAAACTTTGGAGTGGAGGAGTGCATCAAGGTCTATGCTCAACCTTCAGGGCCTGCTGGGATTTGTACTTCCACAGCAAGGCAGAGTCAAGATGAAGGTAATCTTGACTTTGATTTAATATATTTTAAATTTGTTGGGCAGCTTGTATACAATACATATTCTCTTTCAAAGATCTAAGTTCCTAAGATTCCCAACTTCATATCTGACCTTTAGTTATGATTTCTAATCCATTAGAAGTAGTACTTTTCTATTACATGCTAAAGAGTTCTCTCCCCAGAATTCTATGGTATGTTGCCGTGGGTTTACCATTATGTTACTGTGTGTTCAGACCATAGATTGTGAATGGAGTGTGAAGCAGAGAAATGACTTCATATCTGCTTGGTCAGTTCGATCTAGCAGAGTTAATGCCCTCCCGATTCTATTGATTAAACCATGCCATCTGTCTGGATTCCAGAAGTGCACCTTCTCTGTAACAGCACCTGCCCTCTGAAATGACGTCTTTCCTGGAATTTAAAAGTTCCCACCTACTGGTATTTTTAAGATCCCTAAAGATCCAGCTGTTTGCCCATGCCTTTGGCGAGGATGATCAACACCTCTTTTTATCTATGTGTTTTTCTACAGGTTTATTTGCTTGCCATCATTGTTCTTCTTATGCTGATTTTTGTATGTCCTTTATTGTTTTTATTCGTAATTGTCTTGATAATTATAAACTATATATAATTTATATGGGTGGCATATAAATTTAATGTGTGAGGAAGGAAGGAAGGAAGGAAGGAAGGAAGGAAGGAAGGAAGGAAGG